CCGAGACGCGGCACAAACATGTCACTGCACCGACCTTGCAGACGTGCTGCAGCGGATTTTGCGCGTGGGTTTCTGCCGATGCAAGGCCCCGAAGCAGCGAGCGAAAAGCGACGTGAATGTCGCGTGGATGTTTTGTAGTCTTCATTCCTGGCCAACAAGATCCGCACGAAATTCACCTCGAAATTCGGAACGAAATTCTCCGGGACACTCCGGGCCCACCCGATCGTTCTCCGAACGAAATCCGCTCTGCGATGTTGGCGCCATGAGACGCGGCACAAAACATGGGCCTCAGCTGCCTTGACACGCAACACGCAAGGCGAAGCGTGCGGACACGGAGCTCAACGCGTAGGCCGAAAACGCAGGTCTGGCGCGATAAGTTCGCCAGAACGTGGACCAACACGTGGCGGGTTCCGGAAGCCACGAACACAACAAAAACTTGCTATCTCTTTGGGGAGCCGAACTTTACATCCGCAGGCTTCCGCCGCTTTCGCTGCAAGGCGGAGCCACCCTCGCCTCACTTCCGCCAGCTCCCGCCGAGGAAGAGATGGCAATCCTCTCGATCCTCGAGGGCGAGACCTTCCTGGACTTCCTCCCGTGCCGAGCCCACACGCAGAGTGCCAACACGGTCGTGTTGAACTCGGCGCGCGCCGCGTTTCAACACGAGCGCAACAGGGCAGCCAGGGCATGGACTCTCGAGGCCCAAAGCGTAGCTCCAGCGCGATACCTCCGCCAGAGCGTGGGGACCAGCACGTGCCCAACGCCACGCGCAGCGTGCCAGGACGGGCGCCTTGGGCACGGTGCGCGCTGCGCCCCAGCACGGGCGCGCCAGGGCAGCCAGGGACACGGCCTCTCGAGGCCCAGGGCCCCGACGATGTGACCTCCGAGGCTCGCTCCCCGAAAGAACTCTCTCGTCCCGGGGCGCCCGCGTGGCCACCGCCAGGTCCGCCTCGGGAATCTGCTGTGATTTCGACCTCGACGGGGCCGACCGCAGCTGGCGGCGCGGTGCCTGCCAGCTCTGAAGAGTCAACCCAGATAGGATGACCTTCGAGCGAGGTTAATCTGAGTCGACAGACAGGCCCTGCTCGACACTCCCCCGGCCTCCCCCCCACCCACGTGGGATCGGAGCAGAACGCACCCCTGGAGAGATCTAAGGTTGTTTTCTTTGATGGTTGGTCCACGGGGTGATACGTATGTTCCTTGATATCCGACGATACGGTCGGACAGGGGACAAAATAATATCCCTCACGAACATGAGACCCTCCGACAGCCAAACGGAAGAACATTCAAGCGCACCCTCCTCCACGATGAAGACAAAAAACGAAGAACATTAGGGTGCTCTCCCCGAAACGACCTAGATCTCATACCTCGATCCGACCGTAGGCCTTTCTCAAGCCAAGCGTTGTTCCTCGGTTTCGGCTCCTGGGGCCCAATATTCAGGCCCCGGGAGCCATCGAAAAAAATGGATGCGGCCGCTGGCGCGGCACGCCACACTAGAGACGAGGGCGCTTACGCGCGACCTTACGCTAGCAGCTTGCGCGCCAATGTCGGCGCAGTCGAACCCGTTGATCTGCGTGGCTCATATGGGTGGATGTCACCTCCTCCTCCGCTCCTCCACCTACTCCTCCTCCTCCTCCTCTTCCTCCTCCTCCTCATCATCCTCCTGTCCTCCTCCTCCTCACCCTCCTCCTCCTCCTTCTCATCCTCCTCCTCTTTCCTCCTCCTCCTCCTCCTCCCCTCCTCCTCCACCCCTCCACCTCCCCCCTCCTCCTCCTCCTCTCTTCATCCTCCTCCAGTCTCCTCCTCCTCCTTCTCCTCCGCCTTTCTCCTCCTTACCTCCTCCTCCTCCTCCTCCTCCTTCCTCCACTCTTCCCCCTCCCTCCTCCTCCTCCCCTCTCCTCCTCCTCCCCTCCTCCTCCTCCTCTTCATCCTCCTCCCTACCTCCTCCTCCTCCCTCCTCCTCCTCCTTCCTCCTCCTCCTCCGCCTCCCTCCCTCCTCCTCCTCCTCCTCTTCCCCCCCCCTCCTCATCCTCTCCTCACCTCACTCCTCCTCTCCCTACCTTCCCCCTGCTCTCCTGTCCTCCTCCTCCTCCTCCTCCTCCTCCTCCTTTTCCTCCTCCCTCCTCCTCCCCTCTTCGTCCTCCTCCTCCTCCTCCTCCTCCTCCTACTCCTCCTCATACCTCCTCCTTCCTCCTCTCCTCCTCCTCCTCCCCCCTCCTCCTCTCAACTCCTCCCTCCTCCTCTCCTCCTCCTCCTCCCTCCTCTCCTCCTCTCCTCTTCCCTACCTCCTCCTCCCCCCCCTCTTCGGTTGTTTCGTCTTCTTCTTATTATTATTATTATTATTCTTCTTCTTCTTTTTCTTCTTCTTCTTCTTCTTTTTATTAGTATTCTTCTTCTTATTATTCTTCTTATTATTCTTCTTATTATTCTTCTTATTATTCTTATTATTATTATTCTTCTTTGTCTTCTTCTTCTTCTTATTCTTCTTCTTCTTCTTCATCCTCCTCCTCCTCCTCCTCCTCCTCCTCCTCATCCTCATCCTCATCCTCATCCTCATCATCATCCTCATCAGAATCATCATCATCATCATCATCATCATCATCATCAGCATCATCATCATCAGCATCATCATCATCATCAGCAGCAGCAGCATCAGCATCATCATCATCAGCAGCATCATCATCAGCATCATCATCCTCATCAGGATCACCATCATCATCAGCAGCATCATCATCCTCATGAGCATCATCATCATCAGCATCATAATCATCAGAAGCATCATCATCATCAGCATCATCATCATCATCGTCATCATCATCATCATCATCATCATCATCATCATCATCATCAGCATCATCAACATCGGCATCATCATCATTATCATCATCAGCATCATCATCATCATCAGCATCATCATCATCAGCATCATCATCATCAGCATCAAGCAGCAGCATCATCAGCATCATCATCAGCATTTCATCAGCAGCATCCAGCATATCATAATCATCATATCCTCTCAGAATCATGTCATTATCAATCAGCCAGCTCCTATCTTCAACAGCAATCATCATACATCATCGCATCATCATAATCATCAGAATAATCCATCATCATCAATCATCAGCATCAGCATCAGCTCATCATCATCACCATCATCAGCATCGGCAGCATCATCACTTATCATCATCAGCAGCATCCAATCGTCAGCATCTCATCATCATCATTCATCAGCAACATTCATCACAGAATCATCATTCATCAGCCTCATCAGCAGCAGCATCATCATCAGCCATCATCATCGCATCATCATCAGCATAATCATCTATCAGCATATCATCATCATCAGCAGCATCATCATCCTCATCAGCATCATCATCATCAGCATCATCATCATCATCGTCATCATCCTCATCATCATCATCATCATCAGCATCATCATCATCATCATCATCGGCATCGGCATCATCATCATTATCATCATCAGCATCATCATCATCTTTATCAGCATCAGCATCATCAGCATCATCATCATAATCATCATTATCAGCATCATCAGCATCATCATCATCAGCATCATCAGCATCATCATCAGCATCATCATCAGCATCATCATCATCCTCATCCTCATCCTCATCATCATCATCATCATCATCCTCATCAGAATTATCATCATCATCATCAGCAGCATCATCATCCTCATCAGCATCATCATCATCAGCATCATCATCAGAATCAGCATCAGCATCAGCATCAGCATCAGCATCATCATCATCATCACCATCATCAGCATCGGCAACATCATCATTATCATCATCAGCATCATCATCATCATCATCATCAGCATCATCATCAGAATCATCATCATCATCCTCAGCATCATCAGCAGCACTCATCAGCATCATCATCAGCATCTCATCAGCATCATCAGCATCCTCATCAGCATCATCATCATCATCAGCAGCATCATCATCCTCATCAGCATCATCATCATCATCATCATCATCAGCATCAGCATCATCCTCATCATCATCATCAGCATCAGCATCAGCATCAGCATCATCATCATCATCATCATCATCGGCATCATCATCATTATCATCATCAGCATCATCATCATCATCAGCATCATCAACATCGGCATCATCATCATTATCATCATCAGCATCATCATCATCATCATCAGCATCATCAGCATCATCAGCATCATCATCAGCATCATCATCAGCATCATCATCATTCTCATCCTCATCCTCATCCTCATCATCATCATCATCATCAGCATCATCATCATCATCATCATCCTCATCAGAATCATCATCATCATCATCATCATCAGCAGCATCATCATCAGCATCATCATCATCAGCATCATCATCATCAGAATCATCATCATCATCATCAGCATCAGCATCATCATCAGCGTCACCATCATCAGCATCGGCAGCATCATCATTATCATCATCAGCATCATCATCATCATCAGCATCATCAGCATCATCATCATCAGAATCATCATCATCAGCATCATCAGCAGCAGCATCATCATCAGCATCATCATCAGCATCATCATCAGCATCATCATCATCCTCATCAGCATCATCATCATCAGCAGCATCATCATCCTCATCAGCATCATCATCATCATCAGCATCATCATCCTCATCATCATCATCATCAGCATCAGCATCATCATCATCATCAGCATCATCATCATCATCATCATCGGCATCATCATGATTATCATCATCAGCATCATCATCATCATCCTTATCAGCATCATCATCATCAGCATCATCATCATAATCATCATCATCATCAGCATCATCATCATCATCAGCATCATCATCAGCATCATAATCAGCATCAGCATCATCATCCTCATCCTCATCCTCATCCTCATCATCATCATCATCATCATCATCATCATCATCATCATCATCCCCCTCCTCCTCCCCCTCCTCCTCGTAGATAGGTTTAGACGAGGTTTGTGCAGCTTCTCCTTCCTCGCCGCTGCCCTGGACCGCGCGCGGGCGGCCTGGCCCGCCGCCCGCCCGACCGCTCCCGCGGCGGAGGGGAGCACCGCCTCGAGAGCACCACCTCGGAGAGGCCACCCACACGGGGCCCGAGCAGATGTTTGGGTAGGCCCAGCGAGGGCCCCAAGGGGCCGAAATTGGCGAAGAACCTCCGTCCTGATTTTTGTCAACTTGCCGTCGCTCGGACGTCTTTTCGGTTTCGTGCGTGTTTTTTTTTTGGCTCGATGGTCCAGGATGGTCCTCGATGGTTCTCGCCGAGAAAAACTGCACACGTCCGAGGACCCAAAATGATGTCCAACTGAAATGGGGTGGTGCAATAGATTCGGGGCAGGTGTATTGCAAATGTACCGCGCCAGAGAAGTGGAATGCATTTAATGGAATGTAGTGCGTTGCACACGAAGATCCAGCGATGCACTTGCGCCCAGGAATGCATTGCACGCCCCAAATCGATTGCAACCCCACAAATCGGTTGCACCAAACCTATTTCACCACCGCCTTGTCGCTGGACCCCCTTTTGGGTCAACCCGAAAACGGGGGCGGAAGGCCGCCGTTGCTTTTTCCCCAGA